CCACATCGTGAGGAAGCTAAAAGCCAATAGGGCCACAGGAAGCCCCCAGGAAGCCCACAGGAGGCCCGAGAGGGCCCCGAGAAGACTACTCCTCCTCCTCTTCCTCCTCCTCCTCCTCCTCCTCCTCCTCCTCCTCCGCCTCCTCCGCCTCCTTCGCCTCCTCCTCCTCCTCCTCCTCCTCCTCCTCCTCCTCCTCCTCCTCCTCCTCCGCGCTGATTGGAGGTTCCGCCCGCCCTGTCAAGGGAAGTTCTCTCCTGGGTTCCAAGGGGGGCGGTCGCGAGGGGTTAGAGCCTTCGAAGCTGCACCGGGTAGCCAAGAATATCTAAAGATGGCGTTCAGCATACCTCCGAGAGACTCCAACACTGCGCACAAGACGGAGCCAGGTGGCCACGTAGCCTCTCGAGAATCCCTTCAGGAGGCAAACAGGTTCCAGCAAGCTGAAGTGTTTCAGTTATGCTTGTCGTGCCACCATTTTGCTTCGAATGGGCTTCAGAAGTCAAGCTGGATCCAGGATCGCCCCAAGGAACCTGGAGAAGGAACCCAGACAGCCACCAAGAAGGCCCCCGGAGCGCCCGAGGACGCCCCAAGAACGGTCCAAGAGGCCTGCAAGAGAATGCTGTGCAGGCTCTAGGGGGCGCCTGTCTTGCACAAAGGCAATCACGTTAAAACCTGAGGTAGTTGAGTGATGTTGGCATTTTCGGGTGCATCCGTGGGATGCTTGTGGGCCAAGGTGGCTCAAAGATAGCCTTAAGTCAGGCCTGTCCCCCTGCAGGGGGATCTTCGACGAAAAATAAGAAATGCCCCAAAAATAATCAACAAAAAATCCAAAAATAGTCTGGGGACTATTCTTGGGATATTCTTTTACCTTTCTGGGGTACTTCTGGGTATTCTTTATTTTTCGTCGAAAACCCCCTGTAGGGGGACACGCCCGACATAAAGATAGCCCCAGATGTCCATGGCTTCTCCGATGGGCCTCTGGGTTTCGGCTCGACGGCGGCCTCCCAGCTGCTCCGCTGCATGATCCTACGGTGATATGATCAAGGCCACTCGCCCGGAAATCGTTTCTGGATGGGCTGACGGGGATACGCGAGCGTCGACAAGTCTTTCGAAAATGCGCGGATCCTAAACGCCCTTTCGGCCAGGGCGAGACCCCAGCAGGTGGGACCACATCGTGAGGAAGCTGAAAGCTGATAGGGCCCCAGGAAGCTCCCAGGAATGCCCGAAAAGGCCCAAGAGGGCCTCGAGAAGCCTCCTCCTCCTCCTTTTCCTCCTCCTCCTCCTCCTCCTCCTCCTCCTCCGCCTCCTCGTTCTCATGCCCCTCCTCCTGGCTCAAGACCTTTCTTCAGGGGAGAAGCGAGACACCACGCAGGCTTCCCATGAAGCCTCACCGATGACACCATTTCTTACTTCGGCAATCCCAAATCTGCAGTGCTCCTCTTTCTGATTCTTGCTGGGGAAGTCTGGAGACACGAGCAGAGATGGCTTAGGCACTTTGGACGAAGGAATACCGACGTGACTACTGTGTGAGTACATCTGCTGCCGCATGCTGCAGTGCCATGGGCCATGACGTTAAAACGTTGTTCAGCGTATGAGGCGCCAAGCTCCAGGGACGGGGAGAGGGCAAGGGGGACGGCCAGCAGGACCATCGGCCGCCCCCGCCAGCAGGAGCCAACGGATGGAAGGGGCAGTCTGAGGCCAAGGGCATTGGCGCAAGAGATGGAAACGGCTCAGGCAAAACATCACCTGTGGTTCTCTCGGCACAAGACAAGCCCTCCAAGCCAAGCATACACTCTGGCCGGCCGGACCCAGTTCAGACGGCACAGGATCATGTCTAGTTCTGGAAGGAAGGCGAGGACATCAACGATGCCCACTACTTGGACGCAGCTCAGATGCTCAAGATCGCGAAGCAAGAGTCGCTCTCAACCAAACCACTGGACCAACAGGCCCAGGCACTCTCCGCGATCAGGTCACGCAGATCAAGATCAGGACGGAGAAGCATTCTGAGTCAGCTGGGGAGATGCTCGCACAGACCCGGAGATCGAGCAGCTGGAGGCCCAGCTGGCAGTCACGATCCGCTCGGTCGCAGCGATGGTTCCGAAAGCATCGAGTGCGCCAACGCCGCTCCGATCCCTCAGCCAACCCACCAGTCAGCTCCAAGCGAGGCCAGTCGCAAACGTTCCGGTTCACTTTGGGCAGCAGGACGCCAAGCTCGAGACCAGTATCGGCGAAGCATGCCGTACCACTACGAGGTCCAGAAGCAGAGGGCCAGAAGCCGGCCTGGTGCGCAGCAGCCAGCTCAGGTGGCTGCAGGGGCTCGAGGGCAACCGGTGGCAGCGGTCCCTGCGAGCCAGCCTACTCCCACTCCATCGCCATCACCAATCTCACCTTCGCAAGAGATCTCGACAGCAGAGGAGGAAGCGGGGAAGGGGCTCCTGGACGACACCAAGGGAGGACCCCAACAAGCGCAGGCTCCACAGCAGGGTCGACGCCCTCCGGCAGGCCTTGGGCCCCATACCGCAGGAGGACGAGTCGGCTAAGAAGGCTAAGTCCCCCCGTCTTGCAGCGAAAGCGGATTCGCTCTCCAAGGCCACGGGGAAGGGTGCAGCACCATCGACGAGGTAACACCAAATCGATGGACATCGTCACGGTCAGTGGCCGCTGTTGGAACTGAGTCCAGAAGCCCATGATGTCAGAAGAAGGTTCATCGGCAGGCGTGATCCTCGCTCAAAAGGTCAGGCTCAAGGGCGAGAAGGTCGTGCAAGCACCAGATTGGTGCGAAAAAATCGGGGTTGAACACGCAGTCATCTCGGGTTGCGACATTAGCGGGCTCAGCTGCCCGACGTGCGGCACGCGCATCCTCGTCAAGAAGAGCAGGAGCGTAGGCATCCAGCATGCGCCGCTACCCCAATAGGTGTCGCACAGCAGGTCTTCGGCAGCCATCCTTGAGTTGCCAGGTCTTAAGCTCGTCGTGTTTGTCTCGAAGTACTTCAGGGCAGCTGATGGCCTCAACAGCATAAACTTGCACCAGCTCGCGACGGAGGGTTGGTGTCAGCAGAAGTATCGCATGCCAACATGTGTAGGTGCCGAGTTCAATATGCCACAGTGCTTGACAGAGAGCTCTGGTGTCTTAAAGAGGCCAGGACTGGAGCTGGTGTATCTTGCGGGATATGATTTCTCACCAGCAAGACCCACAGCAAGATCGACTGATCCATGATGAGATCGTGCCTAAAAACCTCGGTGCAAGCGATCGGTGTGCTGAAGCAATACCCGCTCTCGCCCCACCGTACCGTCAGGCTCTCCCTCGCCATAGGCTCCGAGCTGATGATCCCCATCATCAGCATGCCCCAGAAGCTCCCCACCAAGCGCCCAGTAGGTCCAAGTCAGGAAGCCGCACCTTGGAATCAAATCTCAGCAGCCTTAGATACCTTGGAGCAGGTCCTGGAGGCCAGTATTACCACAGAGCAGTAGCAAACAGTATTAGACAAGTCATACGAGCTCTTGTTTTCAGAAATTGAAGTTTATATCAGTAGAGCCACCGACAACCCTCTTCGCAATCCTGGGAGGAAATGTGCCCCCCCCTAAGAGCGGACTTGGCTACCTGCAGAATCGATCGACAATCAACACCGAGTATCTCAAGCGTCAGCGCGAAGGCCAGTCGCAACAGAGTGACAACGGCCAGTAGGATGGACGAACTCGCCAACCCCAACCACGTGCTGATTATCCTCCTGTACCTCCTGGTCCTTCTTCAGACCCTTCTCCTCCCCCTCTCGCTCTTATTCCCCAAAGTGTTCCCTCAGGAGCACATAATCCAACAGCTTGGCCAGGTGTGGCCCAACGTTTGGCCACATAGGCGCTTCCGTAATGCAGGGGGCGGCTGTGGTTCGCTTTAAGCGTCTTCGATCCGCCGCCCCCGCAGCTTGCGGAGGGGGGTCGGCGTGCTGGACGTCATAGCTTTTTGGGGGAAATCAACACGGCTCCTCTCCAAGATGGCCAAAGACGGCCTCCAAGACGGCCCAAGACGGTCGGAGCTGGACTCCAAGACGGCGCAAGATGCCTCCAAGATGGCCAAGATGGCCCCAAGATAACCCAAGAGGCATCCAAGACGCCCTAGGAGGCCTCCAAGAGGACCCCCACTAAGTTGCCAATAGGCACAAAAAGTTGCTTGTTTCTATGTACGTCAACGGCGTCTGTATGTGTGTCAATGAGTTCGGCGTTCTCGCCGTCAAGGGCTTCCGACAGCCTCAGACGGCTCACCATGGCCTCCAAGATTGCCCGAGACGGCCCAAGAGGCCCCCAAGAGGGCCCCAAGACGGTCCAAGATGGCCTCCAAGACAGTCCAGATGGCCTCCTATACAGCCTCCAAGGTGGTTCAAGATGCCCTCCACGACGATCCAAGATGGCCACAACATGGCCACAACATGGTACAGGATGGCTCCAAAACGGCGCTGGATGGCTCCAGAGGCCACCTTCAAAGCGCCCCCAAGAGGCCACATCCTCGTCTGCCTTCTCCTCCTCCTCCTCCTCCTCCTCCTCCTCCTCCTCCTCCTCCTCCTCCTCCTCCTCCTCCTCCTCCTTCTCTTCCTCCTCCTCCTCCGCCTCCTCCTCCTCCTGCTTCTCCTGCTCAGTCCCCTCTCCCTGCCCCAGGTGCGCCCCCATGGGTGTCCACAACGGCTGGGAGACTACATGGTCCAACAGATTGAAAGGCAGAGGGCGGCGGTGACTCGTGGTAAGCGGCTTCGACTGTTAGGCAAGCGTGGGAGGAGGGAGGATGAAGGGGCCCAGGGACTCACACACACAAGTAGACACGAATCCCAGAATCCCCCCTAGGTTTGCATGGTTTCTGGGTGTTCGGCTGCCCCTCCACTTCCCATCGTTTCCCATATGTTCCTGGGAATCGACAAGTATAGCTTCCCTGGGTATCGACAATTATGTGTGTGTTGTGTCTCCCTCCTGGTGGAGGAGGGGAAGAGAAGAAGCGGATCGGCGCGGCGGGCGCAGTCGTCGGGGCCCGCGAACTCCATGGAGGCGAAGAGCCCGGACTGGTCCTTCGTGGCCACATGCGTACCCATGCTCATCACCCCCTCCTCCTTCTTTCCTTCCTTCCTCCAAGGGGCCGCCTAACGTCGCGTTTCGCGCTGCGCGAAGCGCGAAGCGCGAAGAACTTCGCGCTCTCGCGCCGTCCTTTCAAGGGAGAGAAGGAGGAGTAGGAGTAGGAGTAGGAACCAGTGGCGAAGCCAGTTCAATCCATACTACTCGCGACCCCTCAGGGTCCTCTCGGCCTTGCTGAGGACCTTGGGGGTTAAATTAGCACGGATTCTATCTAGATGTTCTCTGCCTGTGGAAGTGCATCGGCGAGAACATTCCTTGCCCAGGGCACGCAGCTGCTTGTCAGCTATGGCCCCACACCTCCCACAGAACCATGTCTTCAAATTCACATTCACATTGAGGAGATGAGATGGGCGTAGCCAGCCCCCCGCCACATGCACACGAGATCCAGGAAACGGGGAAAATATGGCACCGTCGACATTGTACAACTTCGGACACGGGGAGTTCCAGAAGTCCTGAAGGGTAGCTTGCGACGCCGATCCGTGACACTTAAAACACCGTCTCCGATCATCGGTAAGTTCATGCTGAGACATGAGTGGGGCGAGAGCAGCAGCAGCAGGGGGCGGAGGGGGCACGGGCGGGGGGGGACCCCCTGCCTTTTCCTCTCAACCTCAAGCTGCTTGTCTTTAGCGAAGCAATCCAAGGTGGCCCTGAGCAAACGGAGCCGCACCAACCGTGCTCTCCTCTCATGCAAGTGCACACGATACCTGTCGGCCTCAGGGACCCGATGCTCCATGGCAGCAAGGCCTGCCAGTTCATCGGCCACCAGGTTCCCCAAGACAAGATTTCGAGAAACTCTACCGTCGACAACGTCACCTGGCCCACTGTGGGAGTGGGTGAAAATCACAGAAGCATGCTCATGACATCTATGCTGCAACATCCTACCTATCTCCTCCCAGAGGTCGGCATCATCGCCCGAAGGAAACTTAGGCAACTGTTGGTGCCACCCCTGGGAGACATAATCACAGTCCGTTATATAGCACAGCCAATCCTGCGACATCCACACTGCGAGGGCGAAAGCCTGTAATTCCCCTCGCGCAACAACCTGACGCCTGCCTACCAACGGGCCATATACACAAGCATCAATCTGAACGCTGGGCATGAGCTGTGGGCATAATGCAATGGCGACTCCTACCCTACGCATCCGAGGATCGCTCGACTCAGGGCCTCCCGAGGCGCCCCCAAAGACCTGGATAGGCGCCGTCGGGGATCCAGGGCCCCAAGCACCAAGGTCCAGCGGGGGGGCCGAACATTTCCACTGAGCCTCGGAGACGGGGGGCGGAACGGCAGTCCAGCCTCGAGGTAAAAGACCACGCAACCAAAAGGCCTCACAGGATGCCGCCTGGGTCTGAGCCTGCATCACCAGCTCGTCGGACATGGTGTATGGCCCAGCTCCCTGATTGCAACGGCATGTCCAATACCTGTGGAGTGGCGTCTCGTCTGCTTCTCCACAACGGTCACATTCAGCAGTCCTGGCGTGCCGCTTGAACTCCGCCTTCTTGCGATCGTTGGGCCAGCAGCCGCCCGCCGCTATCATTACAAGAATCTCGGCCATCCTCTTGCCGTTATCCAGACAACTAATGTGATTCAAAAGCTCCCGAAAAGGTCTGCAATCAACTCCGTCTTCGACTCCAGCGCCGCAGTAGTGCTTGGCCGCCGTAGCCCAGACCTTGAGCTCCGCAGCCTCCTCGATGTCCTCTAGCAGCGCCTTATGCGAAACAACTTTGTTCTGCTCATATACCGAATCAGGAAACTGCCATTCTTCGACTCGTCCAGGGCCTGATTGGTAGCTCCACGTTGTAGCGTCTACTGGGTTCCACCCCAGCCTGAGCAAGCTGTGGATCACCGTGGACACAGGGCCACGGATAGCACGACACTGCTCAGCTTCGGTCATTTTCTGAAACTTGGTGACCAGGGGACCCCAGACTTTGCGAACCCCACTCTGAACCTGACGATGGGTATTCCAAACTTTGAGCCAGCAATCGATCGTCTGCACAGGATACAGTACCGCAGGGTCGGCATCAGGCGCGCGAAGGGCCAAGACGGTTGTCAAGCACCGCCCTCTAGCCGCTGACGCGCACGATTGTGTCAACCTCCTGCGGCACTGGGTCAGCTGGGTACCAAATAAACCATGAACTTGGTGCCCATATACCCCGGCAGGCAGACCCCCTTGACGCTGCAACTTCTTGATAGCCCCGCATTGACGCGATGCCCGAGCAAAGCGCCGAATCTTAGTGCTCATCAACGTGTGCTTTTTCTCTCGCTGAACTCGAACTGCGCAGGCACGGAGCCCACCACCAAAATCAATCCCCAGATATGGCGCCTGTGAGACAGGCTTGACCGTGAAACCAGCCTGCCGAACACGTTTCGCCACAAACTGAGCGTCCTTATGTCTCGTACAAAACAACTGACTTGTCCGCGATCTCCAGAGACCACTTCCCCATTTCCTGGCAAGTGGAGATAATGCAACGTGCTAACTCGTCCCGAACTGCCTTGCGTGACCCTTTGATTGTTTGCGAAATATCATCGATCCACAGTCGCTGGCCCATTCGAGGGTGGGATGCTGTCACAACCTGCATTATGTAATGTGTCATGATCTTTGCGAAACGAGTGCCGCACCGCAGGCCCTGCACCACAGACTGTGACGGGTCAAAAGGCTTCGTGATGGCGCGCTCCTGCTCCAGGGCCCTCGGCGCGATGCACTGGAGCAACTCAAGGCACAAAATGATGGGGTCAAACTCCAATCTGAACGCCGCTTTAACCAAAAGCGGCCAAGGAACACTATCGTAAAAAGATGTGATGTCCAGCATGCCGTGGCCATACTCCATCATCATCTCGTGGGCAAGCTCCTCATCTATAGCTCTCAAATAAGCTTCCATCAAACATGAATTTTCCGCAACCGCTGCATCCCAATGCTGGGCACTCTGCTTACTCCATGGTCGCACCACAGGCTCTCTCGCCATCGACCAGAGGCGGCCAAGCATAGACACTAGGCCTATCGCTCGATCTCTCAAGCTCTTCTTGGGGATGAGCTTCCCCACGACGAGCATGGTCTGGATGGGCCAACTGGGCGTGCTCTCCACCGCACTCAGGATGATGGCGAGCTCGCCCATGGCCGCCTCTGGGAGGCGCTGATAATCAAGAGGTGTCAACCTATCGATCCCGAGCCCCGCCTTCGCCTTCATCTTGCCAGCTGCCTGGCGGAGCATATCAGGTTCCAAAAGGTGGGAGATCTGAGAACTGCGCCGCCTCTCGAATCGTTCGAATCAACTCTTTGACTTCGCTTCTATCGACTGGGCGGGGAGCCCAAATCTGTTGGAAAACACGTCCTTTAGCATCGATGACATCTTTGGGGTGAAAGAACTGCTGATCATCCTGCTGGATCTCGATCTGAGGGAGCCCAGGCTTCTTGAGCGCCTTGTGTAACACACCGTTGGCCTCAGGCTGAGTCACCCACTCTCGGAACCGCAACAATGACGCCTGAACTGCATACCGTTGGGCTCGTTGACTGACCTTTTTTGCCCCACATACAAAAGAATCAAGGACCGCAGCATTCCGATATTCACAATCGGTCAACAACTTGAGCCACTCTTCCCACGGCGCGTCCTTGCCTGGCCTGAGGATGCTGTGAATGCCCTCAGGGCGGTCGCCCACTAACTTCTTTGCGTCGGTGAGGTACTGACTCAACTGCTTCGGGCCGTTGGCCTTGTGCCGATGGCGAGCGACTCCGCACAAGATAGTGTGAACTCGAACCCACCAATGAGCACGCTGGTCATTGATGGCGACCTCCCTCTTACTCTGTGCTGCACGCACTGGATGAACTCGGAACTGTGGCCCTGAAGCTCGCGAGAGCCTCTGAGCCGCCATGCCATGATGCTGCAGAATGGCCGACTCGACGGAGGAGGAGGAGGAGGACTAGGAAGAGGAGGAGGAGGAGGAGAAGGAGGAGGAGGACGAGCGAGCCGCAGGAGAGGCGCCCGAGTGACGAACACCCACCGCGTGTGAGACCTGAGAGCCACAGGGGTGGCGGAGGGCGGAAGCCTGGGAGAGGGTGGGGCGCCTCAGGAAAACCACACCCAAGAAAACCTCCCAGGCCCAAGCCCAAAAGAAACACTAGGGGGCAGGGTTCGGGCCAGAACGCACCGCTCCTGCCCCCCGCTGGCGGGGCTCCAGGCCACGGGTGATGCGGTCGATCGCCGTGAGCTGGTTCGCCCTAGTCTTTGGATTCTCCGAGAAACCTTGGCACTGCGCCCGCAGCTTGCGGGCGGACCTGAAGGACCCGGACCCGTTGAAATTGCCACCGCACTTGCGGCAGCAATACACGGAATTGACACAGAAAACATCATGCCCCAATTCAGCGAATTCAGCAAGCACAGGTTGGGGTACGTCGGCCGAGCCGCTGGCAGCCGACACCTGCCCCAGCGGCTGAGGAGGGACCGCGGGAACCGAGGAGGCCTCCAAAGGCCGAGACGTGGACCCCAACATCCTATCGGCCGCCTCGATGGCCGCCGTGACCCTAGAATCCGAGACACTAAGCCACGCCTCAGAACTCCGCAAGAAGAAGTCCTCGGCCAGGCTCTGGACGAGGGGCGATGGGAGCACATACACGATCAGCTCCCGAACGAAGAGTCTGGAGGGTACTCGCACACCGAGCGACACGATTGCACCTTCGACACCGATACTCTGACGTCCTCTGGCAGAAGAGCAACTCGTGGTCCTGGGGCCTCTCGAAAACCACACGCTTGGGCACCTGGGCGAGCTCTGGGTCCTGCACCACGACAGGGTCAGCTCCCCACTTCCGAAACTGCACGACCTGGAAGGCCGCCCACGACACATAGTGCAGGACCTGCCTGTGTTGCTTCAGCCCAGCTGCCAGACTGTCAGCCAGTGTCTTTGACACCATATGCGAAGCGCTGCCACACTTCGCGAAGAAATCGGC